TACTGGCTGCATGTCGGAGTAACATTGGCAGCGAGCTTTACCTGGTACATGGACACTCGCAGCTCTTGGAAGCCATGGCATTCGGTACAACGCGGCGGTCAGACTTGACCGAACACGAAAGAGTCGGGAGATGATGATCCGCAAGCATTGCCAACTCTTATAAGACTGTATAGGGCCAACGATATCAGAATACTCATATCATCATACTCGTGCCTCTACGTTCACAGCCTCGCAGAACTCAATCGCTGTAATTCATTCATCATGGTCTCTTTTACTTCTATTTTCACCACTTTCCTCGCCGTTACCGGTGCCGTAGTTGCCAAGCCAACACCAAAGCTCGCTGAGCAACCGGTTGTGACCTATCTTGGTACCCAAGGACCCATTCTCTGTATGCTACCAGCCGATGTCTGATGACTACGTGCTAATCACTGTCAAGCGAGCGGTGCATGGACATCAAAGGGCATAGTCTACACCTCAGGGACCGTACCTTCGTTCAATGGATCGATTGTAGCAGGTGGCATTGAAGCCCAAACGGTCCATAAGCCAAATCAAGCTTCATCGTGGACCCATACTTACGCAATACAGGCCCAAGTCATCAAGAACATTGCGGTCATCCTCGAGGAAGCCGGCACATCATGGGACTATGTTATGAAAACCACTGTCTTCCTCGCCAACATGTCGGATTACAGCGCGATGAACGAGGTGTATGCTGCTATGCTGCCCACTCCCAAGCCAGCCCGTACGGCTGTTGAGGTCGGCAAGCTACCGGGTAACTTCCTGATTGAGGTTGAGGCCATTGCTGCCATTCCGGACTCATGAGGCGGAACAGTCGCAAAAAAGAGATAGAAACTAAAAGACAGTACTCCAAGCTGTATTGAGAATGCGAATTCTTCCCAATCGATACGAGTCCATCTTCATTGACCTTCCGCGTGAGAACTGGATGTGACTTTTCAATATGGGAGGTTTCATACCTCTCGAAGTATTACATTCAGATCATCGTACGATGCAAAACTGTGGAGGTGGAGTGCCAATGGACTTGCTTTTGTTTCTAGGGCGGAATTAGCTCCGCTTACACATCGGTGAACCATGACGTTGGATGTGGGGTAGAACCATCACCATACTGCTGGAACAGCCCAACGTGGTACAAGACCAACAGGGCCGATAGGATCGTACCCAGAATAACTGCAGCCTTCTTGCAATGCCTGAAATACACGACCACGATGGCAAGCCCGTCCACCACCACATGGCCCGTGTAAACGGCATCCGCCTGCACTACATCAAATCCGGATCCGGCCCACCCCTACTCCTCCTTCACGGCACACCCAAAACACACTACTACTGGTACCGCATCGCCCCCCTCCTAACCAAAAAGTTCACCATCATCGCCCCCGACCTCCGCGGCTTCGGCGCAACAGACAAGCCCCCTGCAAGCGAAGGCTACGATGGACGCACCAACGCCAAAGACATGGCCGAACTCATGACGCAACTCGGGTACGAGAAATTCTCCGTCCACGGCGAAGACCGCGGCGCAACATATGCCTTCTGCCTCGCGGGCCTGTATCCAGACCGCGTGACCCACCTCTCCTTCTGCGAAATGCTGCTTTCCTACGCCCTCACAAAGCAAACGTTCTTCACGCGCAAAAATATCGCAGCGCAGTACAACCAGGCCGGCGTGTGGAACTGGCATATTCCCTTTTTTTGGCTGCCGCATGTGCCTGAGATGTTGATTCAGGGGAAGGAAGAAGAGTTCTGGACGCATTTTATGAAGGCTGAGTGTTATAATCCTAGTGCGCTGGATCAGGTGGCTGTGAATGAGTGGGTGGGGTGTTTGAAGGCGCCGGGGGGGCTGAGGGGTGTGTTGGAGAGTTATAGGGCGCATTGGATTAATGTGGATGTTGAGGAGGAGATTTTGACGGGGGGGAAGTTGAGGTGTTGTGTTATGACTGTTGGGGCGCCGGAGTAAGTTTTACGATGAGGAGATATGTTGGTGGGGCTTGGTGCTGACGATTTTAGATTCTTTGGCCCGCTCGTTAAGGAGCAGATGGAGTCTGCGGCTGAGAAGGTGCATATTTCGGAGGTCTTTGATGAGTGTGGGCATAGCTTGGCACTTGAGCAACCAGAGAAGCTTGCCAATCTCTTGAAGAAGTTCATTCTCTAGACTCAATACGCTTCATGCCTGAAACTCAATATGAAGAAACTACCCCTGTGAAATCAATGCATCAACAACAACCTCCCCACTCGTCTCTAGCAACTAAATCCACAATCTGTGGTACGACATCTGCCGTCGCCGTAATAAGCTGTCAAACAGCTGCAGATATCGGGAGTAGCTTGTGTCTAGTGTTGATTAGAAAGTACATTAGGAGACTCCGGATTGTGGGTCACTTACATCGAGACATTGCTCGTACCAGAGTGCACAGATGTAGCACCATAAAAGTGGCTTTCCGTCAGCGGCTTCGGCCGCGACGGCCGCGTCGACTGCGGCGTCGATGGCAGTGACATTGGGGCGCAGGACCGATGATGTAGGGACTGCGATGGCAGTTGTGGCCATGAAGGCGGTGATGAGGGGGAGGAAGTGCATGGCTGATATCTCTTATTGGAATAACTTCTGGTAATTGAATACTGGATTGCGGAGTGAGTTCTTTCAATCTAGTGTGATGGATTGTCTTCAGAGAGACGTAGTACAGGCTCTTCTTATAGTTGGGAGGCTCCTGGTGCCAGTGGTAATGCGTCAACCGCGGCGCGAGCGCTATCACGGCGTGGCCCTTTGCCGATAAGTGAAGGACGAAGTCGCGATTTAACCGCTGTATGTGTGAATGGTGGTCGCGAAAGCAGTGAACCCCTTACATATCATGAGGGGCAGTGTGTCGATTGACGAGCCTATGTGACGTATCATGATGAGATCGTAACCATCAGCGGGTGCGTCGTAGTAGATTCGTCCTCGATCTCGTATATCGCGCTTCATATCGTATAGGTTCCCACCGCGGCCACATGTCGACAAGCTCAACACTCTTCAGTAGGTTGTTGCTCTGGGGAAGCTTCTAGCTGTTTTGATCCGTGGCATCCCAGGCGGAAAGTATACGATCTGCTTTCCAACGATAGATTTTGGGAGGTGATATGGTCTGTAGCTTACAGTAATATGTGAGTTCCAGAAGCCTTGATTTATTCCATGTACCATCTCCATCGGGCTCTCCGACGCAGGCGGGGGTATATTATGTCCAGCTGTTCTTGTACGACACCGCCGCAGCCGATAGCAGCTTTGCACTCCACGGCACATGCAAGACAGCTCAAAATTCGCAACGTCGTCTGTATGCTGGCGGCGTGGCACTGACGACTCATGTCGATGACGTCGTGTTGCTGAACATGCCGACCAGCGATTGAACAGTCAGGGAAGCAAGGGCGTGAGTCACATCGGAGATGGTGTGCGGGACGAAAGACTCGGCTAGATCATGCGCCGGCCCGCTTTTGAGTCACACGAAGCAATCGAGATGGTGGAGGACGATGCATCAGCAGGTGCGTGTTGAGACAGAGACGGTGTCACGTGGACACTTATCGATAAGCTAGCGCCGGATCATCCTGACGCGGGCACCGCGAAACGTCACCTCACGACGCGTGCCATCGTTGCCTTCGTCCTCCTTGTCCCAAATCGCGATCTGCCCATATGCCAACGACACCTGCTTGCCTTCCCGCTAGCAGTGTGCGCGTATGCTATGAAACCCTGATCGGGTGACACGCGCTTGTCCTGTTCCTGTTCCGCTAGCTGCCAGCTCCACCGCCGGGAACGCACGATCGAGTCCTATTCGCTTGCCGCTGACGCATCGGTCTCACACGCCTAGCTCATACGAACGCATTCGGATAGAGATATATCGCTCGAGTGGTGGGAAGCCGGTTCCTGCTGGTAAATGCCGCAAGATCGCTACGGGAGATCATGCTGAATGCATGCCGCTTCGGCGCTGAGGTCGTTAAAGGGCAGGCCTCACCATCCTCAATACACATTCGGCGATGGTGACTTTTCAGTCATGCTGGATCATCACAGTGTGAAGCGCACCTTGTTGGGCCGTCCATTCAGGTAGCACACAAGAGCGAGGAAGCCTCAAGGCAGAAAGGGCGGCTGTGCTATGCTCCTTTCGTACGCCTGCTATATCCCGCTTTCCGATTGGCGCATTGCAATATGCTGGAAGAACGCAGAAGGTTTGCCTCAGTCGGTCACGTCTGCTAGTTCAACAATGTGTGGCTATTATAAGTCGCATCCGAGTAGTCTACACCGTGAAGGCTTCCGCAGGATAAATACCGCTGCAGGTCAACGCAGTATGCCGCGCATACCTTCCGCATTCAATATATAGTAGCAAAGAAAGCGTTCAGCCCTGGCGGCCTTCGTTCCAGAACAGGCCAGCGGCATGCGGCACATCCCATCAGGCAGCTGCGACTTGAGATTCTGTCGATGTGCGTGGAACCGTGGAGTCATTAAGTGTGGTGGGGGAGTACATATAAAGTCCCGTTCCATGGTAAAGGTGGCTTAGCGAGTATACCTGCCCCTTGAATGCTTTGTGCAGCCGGCAGACCCCAAGCCATTCACGTGTGCACGCTAGCGTAGATCAGTCTTCGGAAGCCGCATAACAGCTCAACCTGCCGCACCGTCCTCGCTGATTCCAACCTCATCGCTCTGCCACCACACACATAAAGCCTGCTCAACCCCCGCGCTGTCGCGTCAAGCACGACAGCACCTCGCACCCCACGCAAAGCAACAGTCGACCTGCTTCTTCCGCACGACATTGTACCTCAACGACTACACCCTCTGGTCGCGGCATTCTACCTGGTGAATCCTAGTGCTCCCGATTAGCGCATGCTTTCACCCCTGTCGTGCGTTGGCTGAACCCACCCCACATCGCGCCACCTGAAACAGGAACATCGTCAAAGGACATCACCAGTCACCGATCCGATTGTATCTTTCTCACACATACTTCAATCGACCGCGACAAATACTCAACCACTTTGTAGCCGCCATGGCAAGATTTGACGAATTCCCGGCAGAGTTGCGCAACATGGTTTACGACAACCTTCTCCGCGATCGTCATACTCAGCAGCAAACTCACAACTCTCTTGCACTCTTCACCGTCTCAAAACAGGTGCATCTAGAGTCCACCTCTTACTTCTACAAGAACAATCCCATCAGCACCGTCGCCCCGTCGTCGCCTACAGACGCCAACGCCACCGTGCTTCCTCCTATCGCCGATAGGTACCTTCGATTCCTAAGTCGACTCACCGTATCTGCCACGATTGGGCGAGCGAATTCGGAAAGGGAGCGCAAGATCGCCGATACCATAGCATCACTAGCAACTATCGGCGCAGCCTTCGAGGACCTGGAAATTAACATTCAATCCTCCTTGTCAAGGCTTACGAATTCACGCGTCGATGACTCCGTACTGCACGCCGACCATCCCATCACGGCTTCGTTGCGACGACTGCTCGATTCTGGAGTGGCAAAAGTCTTGCGCCTCGATCTCCACAAGGTCTGGTTTGCGCCCGGTATCGCCCAAGACCTTCACGTGCGATACGGCACCCGACTCCAGTTCGTGGGAGGCAGCAACGCCGTCAAGGACCCACTCAGCATGGAAAGGTCTCTAATTGGCGTTTCTGCAAGCTCTCATCTGACCACCTTAGGTGTCGATGACGAAGTCATGGCCAACGCTTGCTCGGACGATGCGTACACTCCTCGGACTCCAGCTTCTCTTCCGTCTTCTATCTGTTCACCATTCGAAGATCTGGACATGTTCTCGGTGACGTCGTTCGATCTCAACTCGGAAACCACTGCCGACAACGAAGAGTCCATGGAGTACGCGAACGAGGGCTCATTTTTCTCGGGCGCCGACATCGAAGAATGGGAGGCCTCAACACAGGCGGCGGAACAGGAAGAACCGAAACACCAGTACGACATCGAAATCGACGATGACTACGATGAGGATGAGGAGATGGAAGACATATCGCAAGACGATATGGAGGCGATCTTTGGCAATCTGGAGGAGACCGCTCATCATGTTGCCAATGATGCTGACATTTCATACATGACTAACTTTGCGCCTGAGCTGCTCTTGACTCGGCACAATCTTGGTCATCTGGAATGAGGCCTACGCGATACTACTACTGGGTCTTGCGATATGGCATGTGTGGACTTCCCATGATGTCAGTGCGTGTTGTACAGCGACCATGATGAGACATGATTGTAGCGAGCAATATCGTCCAATCTGTGGTCATGGCAACTTTCCTTTGTCCGGCACTCAGCATACAGCGTTCTTCGACACCGAACCATGCTCATCGCGTCTTACACCAGCGAGCGCTAGCATTTGTTAACGGCGTTTTCTTGGTTTTTCACATGCATCGGATACCCGTGCGTCGCCATTACCAGCATTAAGGCGTTTTTCCTTCATTCCACGACGATATACTGGCACGGGAATCGCCACGTCTCTTTATAGAAATTACCAATCGAAAACATATCTTCCATCCCATCTCCCCTCGGCCTGTCGATGCCATCATACCTGAGTCATCGGGAATGACTCCCACAAACTTACATCCTCATTGCTAATCTTCTTCTCGCAGCACTAGTATTCTCCCTTCATCATCCCCACCGTAGCTCTCTGCGGTCAGCGACATGGGGAATGATCGATGCAGACTTCGCAAACTCCGCATTCCCGACCTTCGTGACTGTCAACACGACGTGACCATGCCGCAGCCGGAGAACCCCTTCGCTCACTTCGTTCACTCCCAAGCACGCCGCAAATCCGAGTCCGCTGCAATTCCAATTCACGACCGTGATGTCAAGCGCGACACGGCGACAAGCTCTACGGCGCGCAACCCTTTTGCACCACCGGTTCCACCAAAGGACGAGCCGCATAAGACGGCGTCCACTTCGTCCGCGATTAGCGGGGCACGGGATACTCTGAGTGCCTTGGAGAAAAAGTGGATGCTTAACGACTGCATCCAGCCGAAGTCGGTACATGAAGATAGGCTAAGGCAAGAATACTCACCGAAGAGCATGAGGGCGGTAGATGAAAACGAAAGTCGGGAGGGAAGGTCATCCGCCCGCCGGATACATCCAGCTTTGAGGTCGATGTCATCACCCCCACGAAGCTTCATAGCCCTCCGAGAGAGTGTACAAGATAGCGGGGTCGACGTCTTCAGTCCTGTAACCTCCAGCGATGCAACATCGGAGGACGCCGACAGCAAAGTCAAGTCGAAGGCCGCAAAGCGCGATACCGTCGCTGATCTATTCAGCGAGATCATGGGAACCGGTAAAGCGCCACGACTACCGCGTCAGAGAGTGCTAGACGAAGTCTCTACACGTTCAGCCGTACCACCTCCCCTGCGTATACCCAGCAAGCCCAAGCCTTCTCCTCGTGGTAGCGCCCTACCGCCGACGCACAAGTACAACAAGCTAGAGCTAGGCGGCCGTCCTTCACTTCAGATTGTAACGACTTTCGCCGACCCCAGAACCGCGCCAGAGCCCCTCGCCAATCGTCGCAGTCACACGAAGCGCATGAGTCACGGGCACGGTCGCAAGGACAGACGCGCATCCATGATGAGATGGAGTTTATTCCAGAAAGACACGACAATACCACCGCCGAAAGTACCAGAACCACGGAATGACACACCGCTCATACCCCGGAAGAGCAGCAAGAGAGGAAGAAGTATCACCTCGAAAGAGCCATTGCTACCTAAGAAAAGTACGCCTCCTCTTGAAGAGATTGTGCCACCGCCTCTCCCCAAGCAGCGCCGCGCGCAAACCTTTCCTGCGCAAAAGAGTTCTCATAAACTGCGGAAGGATTCAGACATTCGTCTTTCACCCACCCTGCCCCAGCGCAGAAATACGCATCACATCACCGTGAACAGGATGCGTGATCCCGACGAAGCTTTCGAGGAACTTATCGCGCTTCGCAGACGTGCGACCGCTGATGTTAACGGAGGCGCACCCACAGTGCCTCCCCTGGCGAATGGCAAAATAGACGGTGGTAGAGGTAGTAGTGGTGGCGGAGGTGATTGTTTCGGCTTATACACCACAGCAAAGAGTCGTGTCGATGACATCGTAGAAGTAGTACGAAGCGTGAGAGAAAAGAATAGAGCGAGGAAGAAGCGGGAGAAGATGATGGCGGAGGTGCGGAGGAAGTATGAGGAGATGGCTAGTGCGACTACTAATCAGACGGGTGGAGAGGGGGGGTATAAGTGGTTGTGACTTGGAGATGTGATGGGGTTTACTATGTTGATGTATCTATGCTTTGTCGGAAGTTGGATGAAATTCATTCTCGCTCGTTAACCGTGATCCGCAACATCGACGACCTAGACGAAAAGATACTTTCACGAACGGGAGAAGTCACAAGCGTAATATAATGTTAGCCATGATCGGTTCCCACACGAAGTTCGCCGCCCTGCCTTCTCGCAGATCTTCAGCTGAGGGTGGGATGGTGGGTTGGCGTATTGGTCGTTCCCGCCCATCCGACGATTTAGCCGGGGAAGACTTGAGTTGTGCCTTTGGTATGAACGGTGTCGCGCTAGGATTCAAAATCTGGTTGAGCCTTGCTGAGAATTCTTCATAAGAACGAGGCGGGTTCCTGGTGTCGCTAGTGGTGGCATTGATGTCATCCTGGCTAGAACTGGTTTCTTCGTTCGGTGATGTCATAGTGCTGGTATGGAGTGGAAACGGCAAGAGATTGCTGATTGTAGGTGCTCAATATATGAATGGGAAGTATTGTCCAGAAGACTAAATACTTCACTCATCACTGTTTCGCTTGTGGTCAGTGATTGCTGTGCGCGACAATGTCTCGCGATTGAAGCAAACGATGGTCTAGTCATCGCATCTCTTGTTCTGAACATGTCTCTAGTTTTGTCGCAGAAGCTATGTACACAACGAATACTTGTCTAAACCCATTCGATACTTCTACCTACTATCTGAAGTGGTATGATAGACTACAAGACTCACTCAACTCCGCCGCTATGATCGCCGTCGCCCTGTTGACCCTCCTGCACCCGCCCGCGTATTTCATCGTGGAACAGGGTCAAAGAATTCTTCAATCGAGGGATAGTTTTCTACCGGCCTTCGATGTACTGCTTCTCCAAGCACCCAAGGACCAGAGGAGCGTGGAAGTGGTGAGCTAAATCTTCATATTACTGATACGGCTACTCTTCTTTGGGACCGCGGGCCTTGGTTTTGGTGATGAGCTGCCAGAACTACGTTGGCGTGAGGAGGATCTGGATTCACTCTCTGAACCGTGGGCATAGCCATCATGGACCGCTGTTTCGATGGCTGTCGCTACGAGGCCGATGGCGTAGAATACGCGATAGACGAAGTTGCCAAGGAAGGAGGGTGGCAACGAAGTGATTGCGGTACATATCGAGACCGTGGCGAGCGCGGCGGTGATGGGATGAGCACCGGGAATGTATAAGATGCCCTCGTAGCATGCGAGTATGACACAGACTGCCATTGCGGTGAACATAGCCATGCGTAGTGGTGTAGGGGTATCTTTGTCAGTATTGTCGTCTTCTTGGTCTGAGATATCAGAGCCTCGTACGTCAGAATCGTGTGGGTCGTTGTGAGAGGGAATCCCGGTATCTCCACGTTGGTTGGCCGTGCTGTTCGTACTGATAAGAATGGGACGCGCGACAGGGCGTGCGGCCAAACGGTTGTCTGAGGGTGAAGAATCTTCGATTTGGTGGTGGCCTGCTTCTGTCATTGTGTTTTGGATTCTGCGAATTAAATTCATGGCTTGTTATGTATTGGGAATGTAGAGGAAGTGATGGCGCAAACCGATATACATACTGAGCGGAGAGAGAAGTTTGCTTCGTCTCAAAGAGAATGGGCGAGAAAGCGGACGCAGGAAGAAAACGGTCAGCCAAACAACAACAATAACAATACCTCGAGAAACTACCCTGCGATAAGAAGTCAGTTCTGTGTCGTCTATTCAAGCCTTGCGCTAGGGTGGGTAAAACCCGAGTCGCAGATCAGGCATCCAGTTCCTGTAGACCTGGGTATCGGTTGGCGTTTGCATGCATACAATGCAGACCAGGCTACGCCGCATCAGGTCTATGAAGCAACGTCACGAAGTCGGTTTTAAGTTAAGAACACCCGTGCAGCTAGTTACCGAGAGTCAGAGTTGTGTCGCGTACTCGAGGTTTGACAAGTCGACGACGCCGCACGGCAGGCTGACGACAAAAATGTAAGAAATAGACAGCGGCCCCAGAGATGATCACTGATCAGGGCCAGTAATGATACCTAGGCTATCCATCGTAGCCCCATAGGTGTAGTAATCACCGAGCTTATTGCATTGACGCTGACAATGTCGAACGTTTGATTGCTCCACGGACCTGCGGAACGCCCAGTCAGCAGCCGCATATTGTGGCACCGCCCAAGAAACACGGCGTTCGCTGCAGTGGACACAGGTTCGTTTCAGACAGCAACAGACAGCGGCGTCGGATGCGGGGTGGTTCTGCATGTTGGAAAGGAGGCGTTGGCTTATCGGGAACAGCGAAGATGTCAGGAGGCGGGATGGAGATGTTGAGTGGGGCGGGTAGCCAGGCGGGGAGATTACCAGTTTCTGGTAGGCGTCGCCCCAATTTGGACCCTTTGCCACCATCTTCGCTCGTCCGGTCGCACTGGAAATGGCCTCGAGCCCAACACGTACAACAACAGCTGTTCCTCGGAAAATATCAACAGCTTCGAATTTGTCTATATTGATGCGCTGTCAGCCACAGCGGCACATGACCGCCAACTGCACTGTGATGCCGTGCCAGCCGTTTACCAGCGCGGCAGGAACCGTGCATCAACACCATTTGGAAAGATTCACGGCTCAGCAGCGGGCCAGCGTCTGATTCGCCCCAAGACGGGATCCAGAAGCCACTTTAGCACCGCCAGTGGATCCAGGTTCGGGGGCGTCTGGCTGCAGGGACACCGCAAAAGGCTGAAGGGCCTGCCAAGCGCAATCTCGCCGGCCCCCAGCGCCCCATGCCACCTCCTGCGCGTCTTGGCTGGTGCTGACGAGCTGGCGGGTCTGTCGTCTTTTTAAATGTGCTGATCCCCCGACGCCCTGCCACGGCACGCTGCACCCCCTATCGCCATCGTAACATCTTCGTTTGCATT